TTTTTTTTTTTTTTTTTTTTTTAATTTCTTTCTGAATCTGCAAGTTAGATTGTCATGTTCATCTCACTTTCTGGTGATGGAAATTTTGATTCAGGTACACTTACAAAGTCTGCCCTTATAAACAGGCTTCTCAGGAGGAGGGCTATTCCACCACCCGTTTGGGGTAAGGTTTTAGTAACTAGTTGATAGTTTTTTGTTAGGGTGCTTTTCTTCAGTTGAAAAAAAAAGTGCAAGCATCTATTGGTAAAAACACAATTTTATTTTTCCCTCCAAAAAAGATAAAATAATTCAGTTTTTCTTTTTTACAGGCGCTGGGACAAATTTGAGGATTCATACAAAGTAATGGTGTTTTCGAATGGTGATAAATGCTGGAATGGTCCTGATAGGAGTTTGAAGGTACATGTTTTCAAATTTTAAAAATGACGTGCAGTCATTTCTTACAGTTTTTACAAGATTATTTTGTCCCTATTCATTCTATAATGATAAATCCATCGACTTTGGTTAAATGTAGAAGTGTACTTTCATTAGATGTAAAAGTAAAATATTTAATTGATGAATAGTGCCTTCTGGGTTTGGGACAAGATGAAACCAGTGCTAGTCCAAATCCAGGGCTGCATGTTTTTCAAATTAACACTACTTTTTAAATAAAAACTATAGTAATTCAATGATGGAGATTTTCTGCAGTTGAAAGAGGATTGTGATCCCTTTTAGGGAGTTCTGGTTGGTGAACCCTTTTACAACAGCAAGTGGGCAAATCCATTTCAGTTTGCATATACCACTGTTGTCATCACCATAATAATGATAGTCAGTGTAGTAGCACATGGAAATAAGAATTTGAAAGGTGCCAATTTGTGGACCTCTGATTTATTAATGACTGTTTTTAACAGGTCAAGCTAAGATGTGGGTTGAAAAATGAGATTACTGACGTAGATGAACCGAGCCGTTGCGAGTAGGGTTTGCTTTTTTATTTTTTCCTTCTCTACTGCTACCTCTCCTCTTCTCCTTTTTGTCAAAATTTTCTGTTTCTTGCTCTCCCTTTTTCTTATTGTTGTCTCACTGGCCCCATGGCAGATATGTAGCTTTATTATCTACCCCAGCCCTGTGTCAAGAGGAAAAGCTGAAGGTACTTTGCTATTTACATGATAACCAATGTCATCCTTACCTCGATATGGTATTAATGGTAACTGTGGAATTTCACAGGAATTACAACACAAGCTAGACTTACTGAATTCTGAACAACCAGAAAAACATGACGAGTTGTAAACCACAGGAATGGATTTTAACAGGTGAGTTTACTAGGCTGTGTGATTCTTTTTCTTTTGAGACTAGAGTCCTGAGTTGATCAAATTTTATTTTGAAAACAGGTAATTTGATGATCATAGAGCAACTCCAAAAGTGGTGCCCTTAAATTTTGTATGCTAGAGCTTACCCAAATTTGATATCGGGTGGGGTTAGGGAGAGGCTAGGAAGGGGTTTGACTTGGGGTTGGTAATCCTTATGGCTGTCCGAGTTGGCAACATTCTAATATGAGTAATCCCATTGCACATTTTTCCTTTATTGAACTCAATTACGACACGGTCTCTGTGCCTCTCCTTGAAATTTTCCATTCCATTGCGAAAGGGTGGATATTTATACTATGCAAGATATTAGACGGTCAAAATTTCTTAAGCCAATTTTTTTGTTAGAATGAGTTCACGTTATTATTGACTTTCAGATGGATAAGTGGTTCCGTTCCTACAATCTTCATATATACTGATGTGATATGTGGAATTTGCATATTTTGTTTTCGTGGTCTCTTTTGGAGACTTAATAATAGAGACATTGTTTTGAGACAACAAATTCACTAGAGAAGAAAACGGGTCGAATGAAATCGTTTTAAGCTGTCAAGTTAATCTGAAAAAACGAAAATTGATCAGCCGATGCCTGAAAAAATTGAAATCTAAAATATTGCATTTTTTTAATTATTATTATCTCGATATAGTTTGATTTTCAGTTTCTATTGTTAAGACTGAACCGAGGCAGGCCTTTTACTACTGATTTTTTTCCCTTTTTCTGTAGTATACATTAAAATTGATTTTTTTTTCGTTCCTTTATTTTTCCTATAGTATAAATTGAAAATTTTAATTTGGAGAGTGAAATTTTCGTTTTTTTATTATCTCAAATTTTACTAAAAGATTAGTTTAATTTAATCTCGATTTAATATTTTATTCAAACTTAAATTAAACTGAATGAATATTAGGGAATATTCCTATAACAATAGGGAATGCATGGTAGGGTTATTAGGATATTACTGCATTACAATGAAATGAAGATCACTCACTCCAGTCCAGTATATTCTAAAGTAGAGATAATGTTAAATTGTTTACCGTTCTAGCATTCATCCCCAACTAGTGTTAAAGGTCATTGCAAACTTTACATCCCAAACTCACTACATCGGTGCTACTAAGATTTATGGACATGGTTCAAAACGACTTTTTATTTATACGTTGCATTATTTGTATTTCGGTGCAATTTTAATTTAAATATTTACTTACTGCAAGTTTCACGAAATTGTGTGACTTTCAAAACATTTATTTTTTCTAATGTTACTAAAACCGTGGGCAATAATAATGATTCATAAACATGTTAAATTTTAATTTGAAAGTTTATTTTGAGTTTATATTTATCTATCTATATATGTTGTTAATGAGTATGCATTAAAGAATCAATAAATATATATTTTTTGTTTGAAAATCTTAATGAGGGTGAATTGAAAATCATGATGAAATACAATGGTAACATTTTTTTTTTTATATATAAAATCTTTCTACTTTTTATTCCTAAATTAATATCTTAAAAAATACTTGACAGCATTTTTCACATATATTTAACGTATGCCTCTCATTTGTATAGAAATAATACTTTCCCTCAATATTCATGTCTCACATACATGGATAATTGCTTGTTTGTTTCGATTATGAATCCAGCACAGAAATGGAAAAAAAAAATTGCTTGGTAAAAAAATGTCTCAACATGCATAAAACACTCCTTTGTGCTTAAGATAATTGAGCCATACATCCTTAAATTTTCTGATTAAAAAGCCAGGTTCTTTATCAGTCTAATATTTAGTTTATTGTTGGATTAGCAATCTAGATAAATAACGATTTACATATCTAACATAATACTTTAATAATACTTTCCCTCAATTTACAGAGGATACTTAGAATTAAAAAAAGACTTGAGAATTAATGAAAAATAAAGAAAATGAAATGAAAACAAAAAAGCAACCAATTACTTAAGATGCCAATTTAATAAAATGTCTCAAATGGGTTCTTTATGATGCCAACCAAGTAAAGCGCCACTATGTTAGTTAGTTGTTAAATTTTTTTTTTTTTACTGCAAAAAAAAAAAATCCTCATTAGTTAATAGGGTAAGAAGTAAAGACTCTTTCGGTTGTTAGTACTGTACTATATACATAATAAGTGTTATATTAAAAAAATTATTTTAAAATAATTATCATATTAACTTTTTTTTTATATAATATTAATTATCTCTTTTTTATTTACATTCTATTAGTATTATATAAAAAGTAATTGTTGTGTTATATCTTCTCTAATAAAAAAATAATTATAAAGTTATATATGTGAAATTATAATAACTTCTTCAATTTTTAGTTTTAGTATGATGAATTACATTTGTCTTAAATTATTAATACATAATAAATTGAAGTGAATAAAAAAGATGGTGGGAACGCATGCTTATTTTGCCACCGTCGAGAAGAGTAAGGAGCAGCGCTGACCCTGCCACCGGAGTGTGATGCGCGAAAAAGGTAAAACCCAATGTTCACCAAAAATAGGTATCTTTCAATTCCACTGCTTACAATGTTTAGTTCTCACTCATTTACTCCTAATTCCCTTCATGCTTTTCAATTTCAATGCTTTTTTGGATTCTGATGGCTGTACTGAGCACAGGGAAAATTAGGATCAAGGTGCACTGATCAAACGGTCTAGATTTTGATAAAACACTAGCATAGGCATAATAAACTTACCACCTTCACTTTTTGGCTTTACAAGTTCTAAATTTGATGTTTTCTATACTTGATATAGTCTCTCTTTAGATACAAGCTTAGAAAAGTAAGTTTTTGAGAGCTTTTTTGTTGAAAATAATTTTTTTTTTCAAGCAGAGAAGCACCGAAAAGCGCTTCTAATTTGTCTCCAAACAGACTTTAAATTACTGACTAAATTGTTCATCAAGTGTTTTATCCACCCTAGAAATAGTCACAGTGGTAAGTTTTCATAGGAAGTTAGCAACTTAATAGCTACATTTTGGCTCTACAGTGTAGATTTTTAAATGAAATTGGTTGGGATTTTATGTTTTCAAAATACATTGCAATGGACGACGTTCCTGCTATTGTGTAGTCGGAGAGAGTTAGATGTATATAGCCTTACCCTTGTTTCCTTATTTTCCATCAAGCACCCAAACATCTGTGTAGTTAATGGATCCCCTTTATATTTAATAAGCAAAACCCTTCGTTTCTCCAGTATGTTTTGTTGATTGCCAAAACTTGCTTTATTGACATTGTCTAAATCCCTGTTATTGAATTATTTCCCTTCAAGGCAATATTATTGGCTTTTCATTCCAGCCTATAAAGCAGGCACGCCATTTTGGTGTGGTGAGGCATGTTGGACACAATAAATTGACAACATGTGCCCGCCATGCGAGTGACTAATCCATTTTAAAAGAAAATATTCAGCTCCTAGATGGCTAATACATAGTGGGACACAACAAATTAAAATCAGAAAAAAAAAATAGGGTCTGTTTTAAACTATTGAGCATTTTTTTAGTAATAGAAAAGAATAAGGCAGGAATGCATTTTTCTTTCCCCAACTTATTCGTTTCATTTTGGCACATATGACATAAATCAAGATATTGCAACCTTGAATCTAACATATATGGAATTATGAACTATAAAACTTTTTCCTTAAATTTTCAACGATGCACACACCACGCTCGTGTCCTACAACCTTTATGATTTGGAACGTCCACGTGTTTGTGCTTCATAGGTTCTGTCTTATTTCACTAGACTGCTTGATGAACTTTGACAAAACTAAATCATAATGTGTTACCTTATTTTCTCACAATCTTTATCATATAATTGAAATTTTAGTTGCCAAATATGTCATTGTTGTGGCATATAGCATGGTGTGAAAGCTCTGTATCTTCCTTCTGATCTTTTAGTTTTTTTTATTTTTTATTTTTTATTTTTTTAATTTGTTAAGAGTACTGTGTTGGACTATGTACTGAACCAAAACCAGCAGAAGAGGGCTTTCAGGCTTTTACCCGTTCCACTTTCGGAAACATGTCCATCTTGGCAATCTTTATGCACGATTTATGCGCATACTGGTGTGTGCTAACTTGATCTGTGTCTGTAAGTGATTAAATTGTAGATACCTTAAGTAATTGAATTGTAGATACCATGTATTTATACTTAGAATCAATATTTGAGTCAGCATGGTACTGGACACAATTTTATTTTGCATAAATTGGATTTATTATACACATTTTGTATCCTGTTAAATCTGTTGTAAAAAAGCCAAAAATAGCAAAAATTCATAAAATTGCATACATACATCAATGTTATCAAGTGTGGATGGCAATCAATGGCAGAAAGCCAAAAATCCACCATACAATATGGTGGATGGTGTTGTAACAAAAGAACAGAAGCATGGCAGCTGAATTAAAAAAATATAATACACATTCACTCACACAAATATCTTTTAAATAGTAAATACAAAGTTACATATATGAGGATAAAAATTTTAGAAATATATTCATCAAAAGCTCGTAATGTATTAGCATAAAATCTCATAACAAAACTAACAAGAAAAGATAAATGCTACACGACTAAATATGTCCTAGAAGTGAGAAGGAGATAATGAAGTGAAAAAAGAATAGATGAAGAAAATGAGAAAAACAGAAAAAGGGAGAAAAACAAGAGGGTGAAAAAATTGAAGGACAAAGATGGTGACAAAAACATGATAAAAAAGCAGGAATCAAAAAAAGAAACATAGAGAAGAGGTTGTGAAGAAAAAAGAGAAGATGAAGAATAGAGAAGACATAAGAACAGATGACAAGTAAAACAGAAAAAAGGAAGGAAAAAAAAGAGATTTCATTTAGACTTTGGTCACTGGAGTTTGGGTTGTTGGAGCTGGAATTGCCATTGCATGGTGGAGGGAGAGGATGAGTGGCAATTGTCCCAGGAAAGACTGGGCGTAGATAACTAAACCCCATTCAAAACTCTTTAAAATATGATTAAAAAAGGGTTCACGTTCACCATGGCACCATGGCAATGACAGCCGGCAGCTGCAAAACATGAAGTGGAAAAAGGCACTTCAAAGTGGGTGATGAATGGTGGTGGACATCAAAACTATGGTGGGGTCATACCACCATTTGACAACTATGAATCATGTGCTCTAGCACACATGCAAATATATGCATGTATATGCCAATATTATTGATTAGGAAATGCAAGCAGTGTTCATATTTGAATCTATGTATACATGTGTAATAAGTCAATAACAAAATACTCACTCATTCTTTTTGACAAACCCATTGAAAAGTCCCAAGGCTCTCTCTATGATCAAGAATGTTATTTGGACAGTGGTTCTTATCAGGATCAATACAAATGACTCGTTAGATATTCATAGGTCTCACACTTCCCTTCCTAGTCTCTACAGACAAGTCTGTTGTGTGTGGGTCTAGTTCAGAAGCAGTAGGTCCCTTTATTCTTGCTTTGT